AACTAGTTCTCTCTTTCCATCCAGAGCACAAAACAGTGAGGAAAACCCAAAACGCAAGGATATAGTCCAAAGGCACTAAGGGACCACATGATCCACAGCCCCACTCATCCCCGACCACAAGAAGTAGATGCTGCCACGCTGCCACCACGGACTGACAGCTCTGACTGGGATCGTCAGAGAGAGTTCTGGGTAGGGTGGGAGACAAAGTAGACCTAGATCTACAGTCATAGAAAAAGGCCAGGCTTAGTGGTCTGACACAGGTAGAGCTCGTGCTACTGTGACCCCCCAACCTCTCTAACCTAGAATGGAGGCACCTCCTGAAGATCATCTTTCAGCCACATAAGAGACAGGCCTAGACAGTAAACGGTTAACACCCGAGAGGAGGAACAATCACCTAGACGGGACCAGAAGGGCAACATTTGCCCAAAAGCAACAGTCAGAAGGCAAGAAGGGGCAGGAAAACTGGGAGAATGGGCACAGGAGGGACTAGGGAGAGTGCAGCGTCATTACTGTGGGATTGCAGTTAATGTCACAGAACAAGCTGCATATGAATTTCTGAACAGAGAATGATTTTGCTCTGCAATTGAGACCTAGATCATAACACTGGTATATATAAAGCATAGCTATAAAGTGTATACATACATAAAGTATATATATACTTGCATATATGCACATATACACATACTTTATGTATACTATATATGCATATATATGTACAAAATGTACATTATAGGCATATAACACATATATTCATATTATATGCATTATATAGGTATGTGCATTGTATGTGCATGCATAATGTATACATAATACATATTTTATGTGTGTGTGGTTAGATATTATATATGTATATATATAGTCTACATCATATACTTTAATGTGTATATGTGTGTATGTATATACATTAAATGTGTGTATTTATATACACAGATACGTATATATGTACACTTTATATCTACTTCGCATACATTCTCTATGGATATATGTCTAAGTCACAATGGCTCCACTGTGGCTGCTAATCTGACAGGTCCTGCATCCTCCAGGAGAAGGAGCAGGCTGCCAAGTGAGGGCTGAGTGTCCTCAGGGAAGGGAAACATACTTGGGGCTTATATATGCTCAAAAGAAAACGACCGCCAGGGGAGACGATCTCATTAATAAAGGAGAAAGGGATGAAATTCAGAAAGATTATCTACAGGCTCAAGTGCCGCTCTGCTAGTTTCAATCTGTCTTGAACAACAATGCAAACAACACAATAAAAAGATCTGAGAACAATTAAAAATAGGTGTCTATAAAAAGCACCAGTGGGAACATTTGGAATACGTGAACACACACATCGGCAGGGCCTGGCGACATGTATTTGCAGATGAGGGGAAATGCGTTTCACCCTGGAAACGTGTTGGCTTGCTTTACAGAGAAGGAGCCCACAGCAACGTGGGCCCTGCTTTCTCAAACAGAAGTGAAGGGAGGCAGAGTCAGGCTGGAGAGACCACCCGAAGTCTTCGGTGCCACCGTGGTGGCAGGCCTTAGAAGTGACTTCAGAAGTGCAGATAATGTCAACAAGAACAGGACACACTGGGAGCCCGGCACATCGGAGCTCCAAGCAGAAATCACCAAACAAAATCAGTTACTTTTCTTTGGACCCAACTCCAAGGAGTGACTAGAATAGGCGATTTCATTTCCAGGTTTTAGCTAGCCAATCCTTTGCCAGTCTCAGGGGTAATTACTGAGCTTTGGCGAGCTATTCAGAGTGCTCTGGCTCATAGCGCCATCAAACAGATGGGACAAGGAGAAACAAAAGGTACTGGCATATGGTGGTGTATCTGTTGAGGAATGAGGAAGGCACCTGGCAGGTGCCTCAGGGAGTGGGCAGAGATTGCCACTTCTGTGGCCACCCCGCACGCCCCCCTGGGGAATGGAAGGACAGCACAGATCCAGAGCCGCTCCACCTGGCCAGCTCCAGCACTTTCTCCTATGGCTTTCAGCATAAATAAGACTCGGAATCCCAAGTATTTGGAAACCTGAACAGCATACACGGCGCCCACAGACTGAGACTGCGAAAAGAAGGGTGGGAAGTAAGTGCCTTTGAAACCCAGCAAAGGCTCACAGAGCACATTGTGGAACCCAGCCGCGCAGAAAAGATGAAATTCCATCCGAAGTCTGTCTTTGAAAGGGAAAAAAAAATCATTCCAATGGCAACACTCTGAATCTTCTAAGATTGTGGGTTTGTTTGTTGTTGTTGTGGCTTTTTCAACTCGGATTGCATTACGGATATCCGGATTGTGTGAGACATCATTCTCTTCCTTACTGTCCGTCAGTCACTGTGTGGGAGGAAGAGGCCTTCTTCCGTTGGGGCATCCATCAGGTGCAGGCGGAGGGGCGAGGCGCAGTAAGCTGATGGCAAAGTGCAGAAGAGGAGACACTCCTGCAGCCAAGGGCCCAGCCCCCGTCCCCAGCAGGGAGTCTGGCTCCGCGCAGAAGAGTGAGATCACCTTCCTGGTAGTGGTGGGGCCTGGCGCGGCTCCTCTCTGTGGAACACTTGCTCTCCTTGTCCTCTGACACCTTGCTCCCTTGGCTGGTGGCTGTTTCTCCGATGGCAGCCAACTTCTCTCCTGAACTTGTGGGGTAAAGCTAAAGTCCAAGGTCAGCATCCTCTGATGTCTCTCAGAGCATCCTGGACGAAGCAGAGGATGTCTCTTCCTGGGCCTGCTTCACAGTCTCGCAGAGGGAGAACCACCCTAAAATAGTCAGTCACTCCCAGGCGGTGGTCAGGGTTGCTTCCCAGGGTGGGATCTCGTCCCCAGTAGAGAGCACACGTTCACTGTTTGCCCATTGTTGTTACTTTGCTGCCGAGTTGGTTCCAACCCACGGGGACCTCCGGACAAAACACTGGACCTTGTTCATGATCACTGGATGTCCGGGTCCACTGACAGCGATGAGGTCAGTCCATCTCGCCGAGGGTCTCTCTCCTTGCTGCTGACCCTCCACTCTATACACCTCACACCCTTTTCCCGCAGCCTGTCTTTCCTGATGCTGTATTCCCAACGTCAGTGAGTTGAAGCCTCGTCCTCAGGGTGGTGGAACTGGCGGAAGTTTGGGGAGTGGGTCCCCTTAGCTGACTGCCACACAGACGTTTGGTGGCAGGGCAGGGTTTCACCATTTGACGCTCCCTCATTTGGTTAAGTTGAATGGGTTTGGGTGTGACAGGGGGTGGTAGGGGGTTGGAGGGTGGCAGGGGGGGTGGATCTTTGAGACCTAACATCTCGGGTGAACTTGGACCAAACGGTCATGGATAAGTCCAAACAAACTGCATCCCCTTAGACACGCCACAGTAGGCGCTGAATCAGGTCTTATGATCAGCTCCAGCAGTGCCACACAACGTAAATTTATTGGTTCGGGCAAGCTATAAATCAAAATGAATAAAAAGAAAGGTTCGACTTGAAAGAATAAAGAATAAATATTATTTATTGCATCATTTGGCATTTCTTTATACAAGGTTGAAAATTTCAGAAGTTTCGCTAACGGCAAGATCTGCTTGGTCTAATTTCAAAGGAACCCTAGTTTGCTTTGTAGCATGATGGTTTATCTCATATAATTATGACCAAGTAATTTGGCAATCTGCTTTAACGTGAAAAAAAAACACAAGACAGTGTCCTCTTACACAGACTTTGCACTGAAAGTAAAAATAATTGAGCGATTCTGAAACTGTAGGTGGTTTTTTTTATTGTTTATTTTTTTAAAGGAATGTGGTGATGTAGCAAATGATGACCTAGACATTTTGCAAATAGACATTTGCCAGTCAATCCCGGCAGTCCACAAAGATCACACAGACCAGGCCATCTCATTGATTTCCTGACCATGAATGATCCGTGTACATCCTCCTTGCATAGATGCCGTTCCTAACCCCCCTAAAGCAAGAGGAGTGCAATAACATGGAATACCCGGGCTGCATGCAAACCAGAAAGCGTAGAGACGGAGAGACACAAGCATCCTTCGATGCCCCGGACAAGTGCTCCCCCTTCTCCATCAAGACACCAAAAACTAAGGTGAAAAGGTCTCATTGTTTGGAGAAAAAGAAAAAAACGAATCGTGCAAATTTGACACTTTGGGGGATATTTTCTTCAACAAGTTCTCTGAGTGAAACCACTTTATAGCTGTTTCAACAGCCTGTCAATTTCTTTTTAAACGCTCTTTAGAAAAGGTCAAGCTGAGTAACTTAAGACAGCGATTCGTAGCATCTCTGGCAAACCCAAACTCCTGGGCTACTCAGCGAAGTGCTTGATGAGCCAGCACTGCCTGTTAATTTTATCATCGATCGATGGAAAGAACAGGGAGAGGTCATGAGGTCGATACAAACCTCCTTGAGGAAGTTTTGCTCTGGCAAAGAGGCATTCCATGGCTCCTTCCCACCCCCTGGGCCAGGAGGCTGGGGGCAGAGAGGGGGGTGTTCTGCCCATGAATGTTGTCGGGTCACCCCCACTCTTGGCGACCCAGTGGACAATGGAATGAAAGATGCTCAGGCCTGGGTCATCCCCAGTGGCAGACGTTCCGATGGAGGATGTTGAGCTTTTCCATCATCTCTTCCCACAGATGACTTGTTCCTGTGTGTTCCATCTACGGAGCCCTGGTAGTGCTGGGGGCTGGGTGTTGGGCTGGCAACCTCAAGGTTGGTGGTTCAAATCCATGGGAGAAAGATGAGGCTGTCTGCGGCCCTAAGACTTGAAAGTCTTGGAAATGCTATGTCAGGTTGCTATGGGTTGGAATTGGCTTGATGGCCGTGGCTTTGGGGTTTGATGGGACAATGTTTGTATTTTGATGTCTTAATAGGGATCTAGTTTAGCAGGGAAAAAGAGATGAGGGGTGGGGGGATAAAGACTATCAATCTGGGCCTCTCCTTTAGCCATGGTTCTGGAAACAGGGGTTTTCGAATGTAGGGAGTCCATTCCAGCACCTGTGAAGAGATGAGCAGCCTCTTGGGCATTTGCCCAGCATCCTACCCTTACCTGCTATCCCCTCCTGGTTGTAGCATGTCTTATGCATCTTCCCCATGAAGAGCTCCAGGCCAATGATAGCATAGATGATGATGACGAACAGTACTAGCAGGGCAATATGCAGTAGGGGGACCATGGCCTTGATAATGGAATTCAGAACCACCTGGAGACCTGCAACGAGAAGAGAATCATAGTGGTAACACCTGTGAGGCATCGTTGCTGTTAAAGAGACTGATGTATGGAAGGTACATGGGGGTGGGGGTGGGGGTTCTCACAAAGGATGGGCATGTCCCTTCGATTGAACCAAGCGCTATCAGACGTGATCTCAGGCCATCTGTTCAGCAACTCTACAAAGGAGGTTTCGCATGCCCCGCTTTTTAAGATGGGGAAACTGAGGTTCAAAGTCACGCAGACAGCAAATAACCGAGTGGCGCTCTACATGTAGGTTGGCCTGACTCCAGGTCTTCCTTAGAGGCATGTGTGAACAGGAGGGAATGGCAGGCGATGTACTTCCCAGGAGAAGAACAAGTTGTTTTTACCGAGAACACTCTGTTTCTGGTAGCCCATCTCAGAGGCAACATTGCATCTCTTACTACCACAGTATCTCAAGGGCAGTGAGAGCTCACTCTGACATGAAACAGCCATGGAAGGACTGATGCTCAAGGGTGACTGTGTGAGACGGCCAGGCCCCTGGGGCTGACCCATTTGCTCTACAACACCGATAAGCCTTGCCATTAGGCATCCCGGCACGTGGAGCTTCCTTTGCTGAAGCTGACCCTCAGCATTTACATTTGGGAGTGAGATCTCCGTGCCCGGGCAGAGAAAAGGGCTCTTTAAAGCACTTTCTCAGGATTCTGTGAGGCCAACTCTTTTTTTTTTTAATCATTTTATTAGGGGCTCATACAACTCTTATCACAATCCATACATACATCAATTGTGTAAAGCATATTTGTACATTAATTGCCCTGATCATTCTCAAAACATTCGCTCCACTTAAGCCCCTGGTATCAGCTCCTCATTTTTCCCCTCCCTCCCCACTCCCCCCTTCCTCTTGACCCCTTGATAATTTATATATTATTATTTTGTCATATCCTGCCCTGTCTGATGTCTCCCTTCACCCACTTTTCTGTTGTCCGTCACCCAGGGAGGAGGTCATATATAGATCCTTGTAATCGGTTCCCCTTTTCCAACCCATCCTCCCTCTAGCCTCCCAGTATCGTCATTCACACCACTGGTCCTGAAGGGATCATCCACCCTGGATTCCCTATGTTTCCAGTTTCTATCTGTACCAGTGTACATCCTCTGGTCTAGCCAGATTTGCAAGGTAGAATTCGGATCATGATAGTGGTGGTGGGGAGGAAGCATTTAGGAACTAGAAGAAAGTTGTATTTTTCATCTCTGCTACATCGCATCCTGACTGGCTCATCTCCTCCCCGAGACCCTTCTGTAAGGGGATGTCCAGTAGCCTACAAATGGGCTTTGGGTCTCCACTCCGCACCCTCCCCCCCCATTCACCATGGTAAGATTTTTTGTTCTGATGATGCCTGATACCTGATCCTTTCGACACCTTGTAATTGCACCGGTTGGTGTGCTTCTTTGGACTTTGTTGCTTCTGAGCTAGATGTCCGCTTGTTTACCTTCAAGCCTTTAAGACCTCAGACGCTATATATTTTGATAGCCGTGCACCATCAGCTTTCCTCGCCACATTTTGCTTATGCACCCATCTGTCTTCAGTGATTGTGTTATGGAGGTGAACACAAAATGATATGATTTTTTGTTCTTTGATGCCTGATAACTGATCCTTATGGCACCTCATGATCACACAGGCTGGTGTGCTTCTTCTATGTGGGCTTTGTTGCTTCTGAGCTGGATGAGGCCAACTCTTTTCCCTTCAGATTTCTCACCAGGACTTGCCTGCAGAGACTGACTGAAGAGCATTAGAACGTTCCGTTAGGAATCACCAGGGAGCACATGGGCAGCGACTCCAAAGGTCTATAGGCTTGTCCAGTGGGGGGAAGGAGCCTTTTGCTTATAAGTTCACCTACACCAAAAATAATATGCCAAGAAGGTTTACAACAGATGTTACAAATATTCATTCTCAAATGGTGGGGAAGTAGTTCCCTACGAATCACCCCAACCCCAAACTACTCCTTAATCCCAAAATAAAATCACTTGTGAGCTGTCTCCCAACAACAAGTATGACAATTCTTCACATCCTAAGAGATAAAGGACAAAAAGGGCAAATTTACCTTTCTTACATCTAGACCAGTTGTGCTGAAAACCTCTTGTAGGCCAATTCTGACCCACACGATAGGATGCCCCACGATGGGCATCATTTCTGTGCACTTATCTTACTTAACCACCTCCCTGATGTTCTCTCTTCCCATTCACACAGTTCTCCACTGCTCTGGGTAGCCTAGTTTTGCCTTTGTATTTACCTCCTACCCACTTTCCCTGGGGAAACAAAACCGTCTTCCAGACCCCAAGGCAGCCACTGGTTCTACATGCTGCTGGTGGGTGGTTTTCACTAGGCGAATGACAAGAACTCTCCCCAGCTATTAAGGAAGGCTGGGAAGAGGGAATATATATATATATATATATGAAGAGAAAAGCTGGAATAATTTTACCTGTGAATGTGCTTTGCAGCATCACATTAGAACAAGATGTTTTCGGAGCCAAATGATTCCATTAATTAGCAAGTTGCACACACATTAGTGTTAAAGTATGCGAAACCTGGGAGGAAGTGGGAAACCGTGCACTGTGGAGCATCTCTCTGAGGTGTCTCCTTGGGGGAGAGAGTGGTAAGTGCCAATCACAGACTGAGGCAGGGAAAGCCTTACATCCTGGTTACCCTGGGCATGAGGGGCTTGGTGACCAAGCTTTAGTGCTACAACCTCAAATGGCAAGAAAAGGCTAGGTGTGCTAGACAAAGGAGATGTGGGGCTCTCTTCCATTTGGTAGCTAGAAAGTCTGGCCAAAAAGCCCGCTTAGGCCTTTTAATGGCCTCTCGTCCTTTTAGGAGGTAACTTATGGGTGGTGTAAGCAGTAAATATGCTCAATAATCCTAATACAGAAATCAGATGGAGATATCAATAAAAAGGAAAATGATAGACCAATATCCCTCATGAACACGGATGATAAAAATCCGTAACAAAAACCTGGCCAATCAGCTCCAACAATTAAAAAAGAAAAAAATCATGACCAAGTAGGATTCATATCAGGTATGCAAGGATGGTTCAGCATTAGAGAAGAAATGCACGTAACCCACTGCGTAAACAATACTAAAGAAAAGAAAGAACCACATGATCATATCAACTGATGCAGAAAAGCCTGACAAAATCCAACACCCGTTCCTGAAAAGATGCTTAATAAAATAGAAATGGAAGGGAAACTCCTTAACATAATAAAAGCATATATCCAAAAGCCAAGCGTCAACATTACCCTCCATGGATAGAAATGGCAAGAATTCCCCTTTGAATGGGAAGCAATATTGTGGGGGAAATCTTAGCCAGAACTACCAGGAAACAAAGAGAAATCCAAATTGGCAAAAAAGAAGGGATAAATCTCTCTCTCTTTGTAGACGGTATGATGCTGTCCATGGAAAACCCAAAGACCTTCAAGAAGACTGGAACTTGTTAGACCTAATGGAAAGACTCATCAACGTGTCAGAACATGAGGACAACACACGGAATCAGTTCGATTCCATGGTGCTAACAAGGCTATCCGAGAAGGAAATGAGAAAAGCAGGACCACTGACAACAGCCACCCAAAAGATGAGATACTTGGGAATAAAAAGAAAACAAGACACTACTCTAAGAAAGTAAAAGGCCCAGCCTTGGTGACCTGGGTCCCCTACTACAGGCTACCTGATCTTCCTAGGTGGTGTCCTCTTGAAGCTCATGGCTTACCACACAGGGCACATCAGAAACACCTGAGTTTGCACCCCACTACGTGAACTGGGCTATGTCGTGAACACACTTGTTACAGATGAGAGAAGCCGATGGACTCCCTTGGACCTCAAGCTGAAACCGTTACGTGAGCGAAGAGGAACCCTGCTCCTCCAGGGTTGTGCATTTGGAAATCACTGGACTTCAGGTCAAACCTCTCGCTTTTGAAGTTGTCCAATAGGCAACCCAAAGCTACCAAATATCTGCCACTTTCTTAGCATTTTACGACATGTTAGTTCTGCAGATAGACTTCTGGCATAGTGAATGAGGGTTATTGAATTCTGTGCCCTGTGTCTAACATTCAGTGTTTTCTTACACAGGATTCAGTCACTTAAGTTTCTGAATATGTATAGTGAACACCCCATGCTTTCAGTCTATTCCCTATAAATAAATATTCCCCTATCTGAACAAGAATTTAAATTCTATATCAGAGGCTAGTGTAATGATACTATTATTAGAATTACCAAAGGCCTCATGGCAGTTACTCATGTCTCTCCAAGATCTGATAACGCTGCTGCTCGAGGGGAACAGGGGGATATATAAACCTTAACTACATGAATGGAGTGTGCGCTCGCACTTAACCCAGCAAACCCCAACCTAAGAACGACCAGTTCTTATGATGAAGCCCCACTCAATACTTACTACCCCCATGAAGCAAATCACTAAAGATATGGGTGATATAGCAAAGTGTGGTGAGGAAATTAGATGGTGCCCAGCTATCTAAAAGAATAGTGTCTGAGATCTTTAAAACTCGTCTTAAAGCAAGCATCCACCTACGCGAGGTGTCAGCTAAGCCCACACAGAACACATCAGTCTCTTTTTACACAAGGACTGTAAATAATAAAATCCAAGATCGGGGAGGGGAGTGTATTAGAAGGTACATTCTGAGCACCCAGTTTGCAGAAGGCTGTGAACGACAGTGGAAGCTCCCATTCCACCTGCAGAGACCCTCAGGTCATTGACCAGAGATGCAAAAAGCCTTGCCTTCAGTCACAGTGGCCCAGAGTGAATTAATGAAGATATAGGTAGGTTAAAATTTAACATCTTATTACTTGTTTTCCTTTTGGCCCATTTTTAATTTGTTCTAATTTTGATTATTTTCTGCTTTCTTTTGAACTGAGGTTTTTTTGTGCTTTACTTTGTTAATGTTGTTGGGGTTTTTTGGGTGGTGTAATTTTTATGAAATCCAGGATTGGTAAATCTATAGAGAGAGTAACAAGATTA